ATGTTGGTAGATTTTTTTCAAACGACAACAGATTGTGTTTGTTTTGTGTTCCAACTCTGCTGCATTGATGTCTGTTGTGCAATTTATGTTCACGGTAAACATCGCGAGGTGAAACGTGGGTAAAGGGTTACATTCCGTATGTGATCTTGACCGAGTACCCACATGCAATACCGTTCGAAACCCAATCGGTAGCCACCGTGTGGGAATGTTCCGAACCGGCGCTAAAATGAGAGTAAGGAAGGGTGAAAACAGGTTTATTGGTCACCGCTAGTATGAAATTGCGAATATCTCAGTATGTCTTTGTGTTTCTTTGATTGGGCAGGCTAGAATGATAACAGCTACACCTTGCTCTTCCTACATGTGTCTACTCAAATAGGAGAAAAAAGCATAAAGATTATCTATCAGATTAGATCAATACTGCCTGAGTGTACTTTGACCAAGTGCAAATAGTATTAGTTACTGGACAGTCGGACAGATCACTACATCACGCACCAGGTCTGTGTACCAATAGCATACAGATGGATCGAGTCCTTGTTCCTTGTAGCCTTTTAATAGTCCTTCGGCATCAGTCATACGCATTGAACCGCCCACAACTTCTCCGACTCCGGGTATGAGAAGGTCGACCTTTAGGATACGTATAAATAAAATCACAGAAAGTGAGAGACAAGAATATGAAAATAGTCAATAACAGTTACCGAGAGATATTCGAAGGCGATGAAAATCGTTGTAATGACCAACAAAGAGCACTGCTTCAAACTCGTTAGCAGTGTGTGCTTTTTTTGTGTGTCTCTGTCAGGACTTCAAAACGTTAGGTTTGAGCTACACAGTGTACGGTCATCCACCGTGTATTAATGTTTTAAGCAGTCAAGAGTAGTGAACTTGGAATAACACATTCCATTGTTCTCAGACACCGGGCACTGCGGAAAGTCTTGGGTGCGGTTTTCGCTCCTTGGGAGATCGTTAATGTCCCACCAATTGGTTGTATTTAAATGCGACGGAGATTTCTTATCTGGTTTGGGAATTACCCATCCTCCAACAGTGCCTAGTGTCTGTGAAAAACCGGGTGGGCTAATCCAAACATTCACCGTTTAAGTTACAGGGAGAATTTAAATCCATTAAAATCAAGAAAGACATTTAATCCTCCGGATATTCTCTGGAATTTAACATTGAAATTCTGCAAACGGATGGAATGTGAAGCGCAAATTTGTTCACTGGCAGTAAAAACAAGTTAGCTGGTTAACCTCGCTAGCTTTCAATAAATCGAGGACAATTTGTCCACCTAAAATTTCTTATTTGTTTTGGCCAAATGCCGTGTTACTTGTCGCTGATCGATTGGTTCCAAAAATGATATCAAATCGAATAAGTTCATAAAAGAACGACAATTAAAAAACAAACATTACCGAATCTGTTACTCGAGGATCCTCGACCGAGTGTTGCATGTAGAATACTTTGAACGTGACTGGGAAATGTGTCAACAGGACGGGTTCACCGATCCGGTCTACCAGACGGCGCTCCACACCCTCCGTGATAGGATCCCCAAATGAGAACGGAGTCAGGTCGTCTTTTGTGATTCCCCATTGGTTCAGTATGTCGAGTGCCTCGTCATAGCGAACACGTTTGAAGGGCTTTTGAGGCGGGACAAATTTCTACGATATAAATTGGTAGATTTAACAATTTCTGATTGCCATTGATGGACGAAGGGGAATAGATAGATGTGTTTTCTATGCAAAGTCGAAGGAAGATTACGTAATTTAAATAGATTTGTTGTGTCTGAGCTTTCCGAATCACCAACTGGTTGCTATGTGCAAGCCAGTACTAGTTTGGCGTCTGTCGATCATTTGAAGAAACCGGACTCATGGTCCGCTAATCAGTATAGCATCTTATGGGTTGTCACATCACATCACTCAATCGTTCCGTTTCCTTAGCGTCTGTTCGTCCTAGCAGGGCAAAATACAAAAATACGTAGATCTAACTTTTAAAAGACCCAAAACAAATGAGGGGCATTTGTCTCACAGTTTCCAGATTCGAACATTTGATTGAATATTCTGTACCGTCTTGATAAATACTGTTTAACCGATAGAGAAGGTGAACGAAAGTGCCAACAAAGATCTCAGCATGGGGCGAGTTTTCTGCGTAAGGACGCATCCAGGCTCACACTTTCTACTGAAGATGAATAAGTTACACTTCCAACTGTTGATCGATTAGCCTGAAAAAAGGAACTGGTTCACGTAGTTTTAAACGGAAATATACATGATAGGTTGATGGACAACAGGAAACACAACACGCTGCACAACTTACAGGATTAATTTCATGGATCAGATCGCCCGCTTTATCCATGACACGTTTCGATATATCCACAATCATGCTCTCGATCTTGTTTATCAATTCCGACAGATCGATAAAAGCAAATTCGGCCTCGAATTGAATAAATTCCGCTAGATGACGCCTGGTGCGACTCTGCCCGTGGGAGTAGAGAATGATGCGTTGGAATGACTACCAATCACCTGAGATAAAGGTTGTTTGTCACTATTTGTGTTAAAAGAACATTCACTCACGGAATCACTTCACTCAGGTTCCAACACGGGTTATTCCCCCATCAAAAGCGAGCTCAATACACGGTGGATTCAAACGTAACTCACAGCTACTTGTGAGTAGTGTCGTGTGGGATATTGATTTGAACTGACTATCCGTTGGACTACATCGTCATGCACAATCCTCAGTTTATCCGTGTTTGTGGTTGACTGGTTGAATTGAGGATTGTGCGTGAAGGTGAAGTTTGATGGATGGATCAATAGATCAGAGGATAATTAATTACGTTCCATCACTTTGCCCATAAACCCAATCCGGCAGTCAGCACTGATGAGACTGTTGTGAACAAAGGAGCTGGATTCGGCTTCGTGCGAGCCTACAGGTATTACACATCCACCAGAAACAATTCACACATAATGTTCAATCGCTGTGTAGTTACCTCACTCGAGTTTAGCCTCGTCTCGCAACTTCTCGCGATGCTCGTCATCCGAGCGAACTCACTTTTTCCGATCTGTAACAATGCGTAACCGAATAGCAGTCACCAAAAGCCGGCACGCATGATTCCAGGTATAATTGAGCTGACTGTGACAGGCATGCAGTTTCTCCGAAATACGGGAATGTGAACACTTCGGATAAATCCTCCATCGGTGTTTGTACCAACGTGGGTGGATGAACCTGGGCGGAAAACGGGACGAGGTGGATGGAACTGGTGGTATAGGACACACACACAAATGAAGCACGATACAATGTGCAATGAGGAGATATTCGCGTGCATGCCATATTTTGCAAGGGGAGCTAATTTCTGCAGACAAACTGGAACAATGTGCCATTTCTTTGATCTTCAAGTTTACATCATATTGTCTACGAACTAACTCCATCACGTACTTCGGTTGTGACTGGTGCTATTGTGTAGATTACGCCGCATACACTCTCTTTCTGAAGTAAAATACTCGAGGAATGTGGTAAACCCACAAGCACTAATATGTCAGCTTCATCTTCACCTCGTAGCCCAACCCCTGTTTCGATGACCTGGTCGAGGAATAAACTCTGGGTTAAAATCCGCTGTAGGCTCGCACGTGTATGCTTTTGGTGCTCTAATTTGGAGTCCATCAGACTCCTGTTTGACCCCCTTCTACTGAACGTGTGCGTGTTTTTCACGGGGTAGATCGGGTGAGGGTAACAGATAATAAATGTGATACACGCACACATATAGATCAGGGCCAGGGCCAGGGCCAGGATCTCGTTCTAATAGAGTACCAGAAGTATGCCTCAAACCTAGGCTAATAGCTAATTGGCTAGACTGCTCTTTGACGGCATGGACGGGGCTTTCATGACTGTATGTGAACAGCCTCGACGAGCACATCCTGATGAATTTCATTTCATGCAAATCCGATGGTACAGGCTTGAAAACTGAATTCACCAGAAACATGTATCCACCTTTATTCAGTTACTTGAGATGTTGAATAGTTCTTACTTATCTTGCAATTATTCATTCAATAACAATGCACCAGTCTCACATAATCATCATCGCCGATTTGCAACTCCGGACTACTGCACTTAAATCATAATCATTTTAAAGAAACTGACCGGGATTTTGCTGTCCTGTCAAGGTAATGAGGTGCAAACCGAATGACTTCCTCTCTATATTCTGTGTTTCGAGCACTTTTGTTGGGAAATCCACATATTGGTCGCCAGAGCATATCCTTATTTGAACCAGTCAACCAGCACCGTCGAAGAGTGGAATGTTTAAGTCTGATCAGTTTTCACCTGGTTGAGTCAAATCACGAGGTTCTGCTGACCGAGAAGTTTCATTCCAACGATCTGGTTAACAGGAGCCGCACGTTTTCCTCAGTTGAATTCGGTTGCCAGACATGAAGAAACACCCAACTGTGTGTTTTTAAAATGGCCCAAAGAACACTTACTTGGTCGACTGTGACTATCAAACGACTGAACACAGTCGAGCAATAAGTGAACAATGCGAAATTCCCTTAGAACCATCTTATTCACTATCGTGTGTGTTATTTAAAAATGTCTCGTATGCAGGAATTGATCAAACTAGTGCAACATCATTCTCATTTTGGTAATACATTTCAGTTTCTAATATCATACTTGTTTGTATATGGATGGCAATGAGTAAAAAGTAAATTATTTCTGATTTTACCTCCCACCGTTTAAATTTTCGTGACCTTTAGTGTTGTGATAAAATTTCTATCAGTTCGAAAGTTCCAGCTGAGATTTCGAAAATATTTTGAGCAAACCAGCATGGGAATTCATTCGTTTTAATAAATGATTCCTGTTCCACGAGAGTGTTTATTAAGTTGAGCATATGTATTATAAATTGCTTAACTCTTTCCATTCCGTGCGCGATAAATAAACAAACTGATGAAAATGTTCTAGCCCAAATAAATTGATAAATTATTTAGCTATGAAATGATCACGCCTTACCGACAATGCTGAAAGAACTGAAAACATAGTCCAAGAAACACACAAGTTGATCTTCCGAAGTTGACCTTCAGGTGTGCCGCTCGTTGAATAAGCGTCCTGTAGTGTCACCATACCCAAACCGGATGAAACATTCAAAAGGTTTTGGCATCTGATTGACGCCGAGAGGCAACTTAATCGGGGTGCGCATAAATCCAATGACTCAGCTGGTGTCTTGTTAAAAGCTTGGATATGAACATAAGTCCGATTTGTAGCATATTCAACGAAATTTCGCCACCAAAACCGATCATATGGAAGTAGAGCGATGGTTGTTTTAAATCGCAGTAGAGGGGAATGGCACAAAATCAATCTGGAAGATAGTCAGTGCTGATAAGCCATTTTTTCCTCCCTCTTTCGTGTGGAAAATGATGGATAGATGACAGGATAACGGGAGCCAGGATTCCAGATTTTTGAATCACGGAAAATTGAATTGATTTTACAGTGACTTTTATTTCTGGTTTTAGCGATAAATTTAAACTGTAAGAAATGTATATTAGTATTATCATTGTATCAGTAACAGTAGTCTCTATGTGTCAAAACTGTTGAGAGCAGCCTAAGCGACTCAGGGTACAGAACTGAGTGTTTTTCTTTTCAAGATTCAAACGTATCCTCGGAACTTCTGTGATGCTGATTTGATTTGTTTCATTTTGCGATCAAAAAGGGTTTGTCTGGTCCGTCTCAACGACACTCTGGATATAGCCATATATTCAAGCTTTCATGTTCGCAACAGGGTAAACAAATTTGAGGAAAACTTCTGAGTGTTTTTTTAATTTCCGTAATGTTCATTGTGTGAAACGTGAATATGGCCACTCAATTAACTTATTCCACACTGGGAATGCTATCAATTTACCCACGAATCATACCATGATCTGATGAGAAAGTAATGAAATGAACAGAAAGAGGGACACTATCATTAGATCAATCGTTTCACGTACCTCAATGTAACCTTGATCACGGAAGTATCCATGACATTCGCCACAGATAATACTCACTGCTCGGAAGATCTTTGAATACTATGAACAAAAGAAAGAAAATTGGAAATGAGTTGAGTGTCCGGGACCTGTGTGGTTTGGGGGATCAGGTGCTGGGTTTTAAATGAAAGATAACGTTTCTCTCTGTTTGTTTTGTCTCCCTGGATCTCGTGAGATGACGTAATATGAGTGCAACTGAAACTGCAACGGATCCGTGGACAACAGAGGATTAAAGGCCGCGGCCTGATCACAAGGAACTGGTCCGAATTGAAGACCTTCACACACTCCTTACGAGGACAAACACACTTTAGGTGATTGTGTACACCACATTTTCGCCTCAATTATGTAAACTTTGATGATGATGATGATGATGATGATGATGATGATGACGATGATTTATTGATCAGAGGAGACCACATTGCATTCTGTTCTAAACCTTGGATTTAAATAATCACGCAAGACACTAACGTTCATAATCGTTTATCCGTGGCTGTTTACTCTAACCGCTGCGCTTGTACTACACACGTCGTACACCGTCAGCCAAGCTGTGAAGCAACTGTCTCCGACGACTGATTATTCATATTGATGAGAACACGGCTTTATTGGGAAGCACAATTCGTGCACAGCTATATCTGACAGAGGACAAAAAGAACTTTCTATGCCTTCATACCCCAGTGATAATTGGGGAGATTATGGTCGGCAATTTATTTATTTATATATTCACACTCGATCAGCGCACACTCAGAACAGTGTTTATCGCAAGACCTGTAACTAGCTAGCATGCGAGCAAATCCCTCAAACAAACATGTGGCCTTACAAACGAATTGCGGAACAGTTTTACCCACGTGATATAAAACGAGTTACAGGTTGTTTATCATTGTAAACTTTGATTGACTGCGAGGCAACCGCAAACTAAACAGGCTATTCCCTTAAATGAGTGACACGGACTAATGGATACACTGCCGAAGACTTTCGTCATTCTTATGCTGGGTGTTTTGGGACGGCCGCGTTTGGGAGGGATTACAGTAATCAGTGATATCTGATTTATGATTCCAGTCATCCGTAAATCACTGTACAGTCTATTGAAACTTTCATGGTGAGCACTGTCTCATAATGGCTAGTGATGCAAATGGCAATGGCGTGTTTTTCTTTTGCTAAGCGAGAATCAGAATAAGGCTTGGGTTTGGACTGTCCGCTTTGCTGTTCTAAGAATGCACATAGTTCCGCTATTTTATTGTTAAATTCACACAGAGGTATTTGAAATTGTTCTTTGAAAGGAATGGAGGAGTTGATTTGGTTACATGATGAATTCTTTGTGTAAATAACGCGTGAATGGAAAAGGTAGTAAGCAATGGACAGCTGCTTCGATCTGCTTGGATCTAATCAGCACTGCTCAAATCCAACTGGAAATCGAACCCGAGACTTCATCACAGGTAGCATGCAAGCATAATATCCACTCGGACACCAGACAGCTGTTCAGAATAGCATGACCCATATTTCCTACTTTGTAGAGGGCATCAAGCCTCGCATAGCTCACCGGTAATCTCTAGCTGTTGAGACCCAACCAGGTCGAAACAGTTGTCTAGTGCTTCTTAGCGTTTCAGTTCTCGCCCTATCATCTTACAATATTTAACCTTGGATAACTAGGCATCTGTAATCAAAAACAGAGTACCTTTAATTTAAAAAGGTCACAGAAATTTGGTTTTCTGTCGCAATCGGTCAGCCAGATATTAAACTCCATCCCGGTCTTTCACCACTGATCGGTTTCACATCAGTGCGATAAACCTCTTTTTTAACAGAATTATATTAAAAGCATAATCTGTACTGATATTATATTAACTTAAATTTCAAAACGGTCGATTGAAAATATGGGTATTGTCGTATGAATTTATCCGTTCAAGATGTAGCAGCCAACTTCTTCTCACACAGGGTCATATCTATGTGGGTCAACTGCGCCAATGTTAAGGCCTTCAAGGTGGCCCTGGACGCATGCTGATCAGCAACATTGCCCAAAATTAGTACTCAGTATTAAAAGTGAGAACATCAAGAATAAAATCCATTGTAGTCCGATAATTCTGAAATGGAGTAAACTCAAGGTTGGTTGTTGGAGTTGTTTTCAAACTGACTGTTCTCTCATTGGTGCACTGTGTATAGGAACGCCTCGGAATTCGGAGGTCTCTAACGGTTGAAGCGAGGAAATATCCTTGCATGTTTTCCTCCCTTTCAGCATACCCCGAAGAAGACAACGTTCTGAAAACGGGATATATTGATCGGATCACAAGTATCAGATCATATGTACACAGTGTTGGAAGCTACTCGCATCCGCCAAGAACACAATGAACTGGACGCTCGATTGGCAAGAGCCATATCCATCCTGTGCAAACTGAACTGATCTGAGCGAAATGTTTGAATTTTATTCTAAAGTATTATTCTAGACACCTGTTGTACGGAAGTGTCGCACCCGTGCTTTTCGACGGAAAACAATCCCTAAAACTAACTGCAGTTCTTTTTCTAAATATTGAGATAATAGAACATAAATAAAAACATGTTACGGTCATAAAAAGTAACCATACTGATACGTAGATATTTCCTCAGACGGCTGGCCGTTAATCCCTTCCTTAGTCCATGGATAAGTATGTAGGCTCCCACTTCGTAGGAGTTTGGTCATAGGAAAGCTAACGCCCGCCAAAGCTGGGTAGACAACAGTCAATGAATGGCCGTCTCGTGTACGTTCCACCAGGCTGAGGACTGATCACGAACAGTGAAACGTCCATCAATGCGCCAGTGAACATCATTCGGAACCGGACCCCGAAGGCCTTGCGTAACAACTGTGTAAAAGCCTCCACACGGATGTTTCACTCACTGTCTCGCATTGGATCTATGTCCCACTGCCTTATGGGCCAAACTTTCAAGCCAAAGCCTCCGGTCAAGGTTTCCAAAGAAAAACCCCTTTACCGGTGTAAGCTATCGTGAGCAATATCGTGATCCAAATTCCCAGGTGACCTCTGGAAAAAAGCTTTTCCTCATTAGTATAACTAGCTCTTCCTGTCACTTCTGAATCATTCCGTATACATCCACTTTACGCAAACCATGGCATAATACTACTCAGCGTTCAACTAATAAGGTCAACTAATCAGAAGCCACAGGATTCATGAAGCCCAAGTCCCCCTTTCAATTAGCCGCATTCAATGTCCTGCGTTCTTCTGACCCAACCTCATCTTTATGTTCCACGCTTCGTGCATCAGTCGATTCGACATCCGAAACTCGTGGTATTACTGGTGTCAGAATTGTGTTAAGTGTCAAGGCTGAACACTCGCTTCTTGACTGGATTCCCGGTCATAGTTGACTGTACGTCTCGCCGACCTAGTATGACTCCCCAGATGCAGAATTATGTGTCACCAGTTATTTGATGTGCCCGTGTATGCATCCATTAATTTCTATGCACCCGAAATGAAGGAGAAACGCTACTGAAACTGTACGGTCCAGTAGCATTTTAGCAGTCCCGGGAGGCTTCGTTGCTCAAGTTAGATCGCTAAACCAATAAGAACAGCGCTTAATGGCGGTACGCATGTTAGCATAACCAATCGGACGGAAAACGGAGAACACTGATTTCAACTCTGAGCTGAGCACGGATTATTTCTGTCGAGCACCAATTTCTCGGATAAGGAAAAGCACCGCTTCACGTGGAAATCCCCTAACTCTAAAAAGCAATGAACATCACAATCATCAACCGCCGTTGCACATCCATTCGAGACTGGTGCTCTCACTGATGGTTGCAAATTGGTCTTCGAAGCGGAGATCTCTTGTGGTCTATCAATTCAACCACCAGTCAAAGGATTCAGGAGACATTAGTCAAGGAAGCTTTGCGAATATCGTTCAAAAAAATAGCACTTTCCAGCGCACCGCTGCTTTGCTGGACACCCTCAAAAGGATTTCTCATAATGCCAAATTTGACACTGTTAACAACGGGCCTTAAATTCCAGTTCATTGAGGACCTGAAGAATGACGGCGAGAATTGGTGATTAACAAAATATATAGAGAGAATGAAAGCTGCGGCTACTGGTCATAGTCAAAAATCTTTTCCGTCTAGTCAGGACTAAAAATGGCTCATGGGGCTTGGGTAAAACTGAAGTAATTAGGGAGTCTGACGACACACTGAATCATATTCATGAACGCTGTCTGGAAGGATGTACACAGTTCAGCTGGGCCCCCGATGATATCAGATCTCCCTATTCCTGCTGCAACTCAGCAAATACTACCAGTTGCTACCAGTCCTTGATAATAAACAGATGTGTTCCGGAAATAAGTCAGCACAAACGGTATAAGTTCTCTGCCCCGTACGAGGTGTACACATCGGATTTTAAGGATGAGGTTTCAGTTTTGGTTTTCGAGTTGAAGAAACTGCTGGGTCATTTAAGAGAAAACAAAGGTTTTTGCTGAACGGTTTGAATCGGTAATCTTACCGATTAACAAGAAAAGTGATAGAAAATCTTGCGAAAACCACAGAGGAATTATTTTGATCAATATTGTCCCTAAACTTCTTACTGCCTAATACTCCTTTCGACTCGCTGCCGCACCTGCAGGTTGCACGTGTGAGCGCAATGCTGGATCGGCGTTTTGTTCGACCATATTTTCACCATTCACCACGTTCTGGAACACCAACATTATTTTACCAGACCCCCCATTTCTATCTTCCTCGATCTGAAAGCGGCCTTCGACTCAGTCGAACGCTGTAAACTCTGGCAGTGCCTCGCCCTAAAGGGTGTGCCCGCGAAGTTTATTCTAATATTAAAATCACTTTATACCAATAGCCGAAGCCGAGTTCGAGCTTACGACATCTTTTCACCCGAGTTCACTACCAAAAGTGGTATCCGACAGGATTGATCTCCCTCTCCGATTCTGTTTGACTTTTTCATAGATTTAATGCATGAAACAGCCCTATCGTCGTGCGAGGATAGCAGTATTGATTTACTCCCAGGTAGCAGACTGTCTGATCTAGAGTATGCGAACGACATTGTGCTACTAAACTGCAAGCTTTTCCGGACCATCTGAATGCTAGTGTAGCTGTGTTCAGTATGCATTTTGCACCATTCGGTGTAGAATGTTAAGAATGGACTGGGTTTTTCCTGCTCTCCACCACACTCCAAATCCGGAAGTACTCGGGAAGTAACTGAACCAATTTAGCTATTTGACCAGCAATATACCACCGAGTGAACGCTCACGGATGAAGTGTCGACACACATTCAGAATACCTAATCAGAATGGGCCGGCTTGAGACAGCTGTGGCGCAGTCACGATATCCGGGTATCTGTGAAGTGTAAGTTATTTGCTGCGACAGTTCAGCTCGTGCTGCTATAAGGCACAAAACACTGGCCAATCAGAAAACAAGATAAAGACAGACTGTCCGTATTGGAACACTATTGCATCCATCCATTTTCGCGCGTCTGGTGGAGAAACTGAATAAGCAACTCCCACTGGAGCACTTGGTGGACCTCCACAGATCACGATAGTTGGGGCTTGTGTTGCGCGTGCTACCAAAAAGATTACCACTGCGCGTGAGTTTTACCAAGGTAGATGGTCGGAGGAAAGAGTAGCTGATACTAACGAAAACCTGGCATTATATTATGGAAACTCAGACCAGAAAACTGGCTCTCATTGGTCACGTTAGGCCCTCTAAATGGGAACCCAGCTATACGGCTGAATTTAATAAACAATAGCAATTATGCACCTTCTCAATCTATTTGCAATCGTAATTTTCGGTTTTTTCTTCGAATGCAATAAACTCTGCAATCTTAGCTCTAACCTTTCGCGCAAATAAATAGCAAAGGGACACAAACCAAAACAGCCGTACGAATTTGTGTTTATTAGTGGTACGAACAGCAATCCAGACGCACTTTTAGGACAAATCTGAATATGCAATCCAACCGTAACTCGATGAAATAAAAAGCAAACGTGTTGTCTTTCTTACCCTCTCCCAACGAATGGTCAAATGTCGATTGTCCAAAAGCACATCCACTTCACTTTTCGCGTTGCATACTTCCTCAACACCACCGGCTGGTCCTTTGCCAATCAATTCCCAATAGTCTGCTTGTAGTTCCACATTACCCGGGGCGGCTTTACCTTGGAGAACTTGACGGATTAACCCGTAGACTCGGATTGTAGATTCTGTGGACAATTGAATGGCATCCACGGTTCGACACTGAGCCGGTGCGGAAGTAGAACATGGAACACAAATTATGTGAATGGCTCTCGTAAAACAGGGTGGTAATACACACAGAAGAAACAGAAGAAGTAAGTTAGTGAGCTTTCGGTTGCTCACCGAAGTTTGGATTAAACAAAAGCTTGTCAATCAATAAGTGCACCAATTGGGTGAATTTGATCGTTCTTTGTACATGTGAAGTCTGAAGATATGGTCTGATAGGATCAAGCGAGGGACCATTGCAGTTCTTCTACTTTGGGTTTAAAAAGCAATAACTAACGCAAAAATTGGGCCTGTTATTTATCATGGGAATCTCAGGGTTCTATTGACCTTACTCTTTAATCAATATCAGATTTTTCCTTTGAACTTCATAGATATTTGCTATCGTTTTGAAAGTTCTAGGTACTCCAAAATCTGATCTCTGAATCCAGTCATGAAAACTGGTCTTGCAAGCCCCGGGACTTGGAGTGGTGAACCACATATGGCCCCACTAGGTTAGGTGGTGTATTGTACAGGATAACAGCAAAGCCGCCTACCACCAAAGTGGAGTGGTGGTGGTGGTGGTGGCGAGAATCGAACCTCGCACCCTCGGGCCCAAGGCAGAACAGTGACAGCCACTGAACCACTGTGCCACCAACAGTCTCAATGCAATGAGTTGATGCGCTCACCATATCATTAGACAGCACACACTGAAGAAATCCAGTGCTATCTCGCAGTATGATGAACATCAGTGTGCGTCCCTGACGACGAATACGATGCGCCCAGCCAGAAACACAAACTCGTTTGGCCAGGTTCAGCTTGATGTCACGAATCTTGCATGTAATCGGTTCCGGCAAATCGGGGTCGAGATTCAGTTTAATCGAAGTCTCTTTGACCAACACCTCCAGTTCTCGGATGTCCTGAGTTTGAACAAACAATAAACGAATGAAAAGTAAGACACTGGCTGTCAGAAAACTGCGTGGAACAGCATTTTTTAATTGTAATTATTCGCTTATTGAAAATTCAATACCACGGTGCCTGAGAATGTTAAATTTATTAATAAATTTGGCAAAAATCCTTGGTTGTTTACTTACGCCATCCTCAGGGAAATGTCAATATCAATGTTCTGTGCGCTTTCGGTTCAGGTCACACTAACCCTGTCGTTATCTCATGCTTGACTCCCCGACTTTCGCCCCCTCCCTCTCTNCCCTCTCTCTCTCTCCGTTTAACACACTGATACAAAATCTACACACACACACACACACACACACACGCACACACATCGTCTATGGTACTCTTCTTGTTCTGCTTGTTCTACAATAATCACTCACCAGATTCATTTGCAGACTTCTCTCAATTACATACCGCTCTCTAAGGGAACTGGTTCGATTCCCAATTTGCACTCTCTGTGTTGACCAAAGCGGTTCACCTTCTTCCTCGTCCCTCAAAATAGATCCGATCCCTGTCCATCTTAAATTTTACCACTAGGCTTGTATGCATTGATAGGTGGGCAGCGATCAGTGAAGTGCGGTTCGCTGTACTGCGCTGTCCGATGATGATGATGATCATGATGACGACCCCACTTGACTGAGACAACAAAAAGACAATGTATTCACTATCTTGTAGAATCACAAATCACCTAAACCATTCAACCAAAATCGAGCCAAAATATTGAATAAACAAATAGTGAAATGTGCGAATGAAATTGGCATATGTTGTTCTGTCGACAGTATCATCCCCGAAACCTGATTTACTGACAGACCACTGCCCACATTCTTCGTGCATCAGGATCACAAAACGTATTTCACCCTATTTCTTGTTTGAGACAAATATGGACGCACGAAATAAATTATCCCCTGTTAGAGACGTATATTTCGAGAGTGAAACGAACTTTCTCGACACAAACTCACTGAGAATATGACTGCTGGAACGCAGTAAAACATGATCGTAGGCATTACACAATAATACTAGATTTACCGGTGTAGCGTTACGATATCCCAATCAGCTTAGAAAGCACTGATATATCAAGTTTTTCTGACATTAGAGCCTACCAGTAGTGCACGTACATTCCCTAGTCCGTCTGAACAGATTATCGATACAGACAGACAGAGCACAGCCCCGCAAGCAAAGATCACGGGACTTATTCTCACTAGTGTGCAGTACTGTACATTTGAAACTGGTTAGAAAATTCCCTATTCAAACATAGTTCCCCGAATGACGCTCCAAAGCAATTGAACAATTTGTGTGGCTGATATGTATTAATTACTCGTGAGGACGAGCACCATCATCCGGATAAATCAATTCTTATCTTAAAAAAATTATGGCTATTTTGACCAGAAAGATGTTACATAACAAAGATCAACATAACAAATTGGACAAATTGGAGCCACATTCAAATTGAAACTTTGCGATACGCGTTGAAGATCAACAAACGTCACGCTGGTTAGTAACGGATCTGACTAAACCCGTAAACTCTCTAGTTGATGCTTTAAATGATTTTTGTGGATTTACAAATGAGTCGATACTCCGATACTATTCTATTTTATATCTTTCCTCCGGTTCCTGATGTTTGGTTTATTCTAATTTCCTTTCAGTCTCATTCACATGAAGTGCCAAATAGTTTCAATCCAAATGACAGGTGAGTAGGCGGTAGCCGAAGAAGAGCCGTGTGACCTGATGTTCTCATCCTGTAGGATCCGTCTTCTTCTTCGGAATAAGGATCAGATTGATTGTTCAGACTAGAGCGTTGACATCCTTCAACAATATTTCCAGTCGGGAGCACAAGTTTATTTGTTCCAATCATCACCAGTGATCCCAAAACGCGTACGGAACTACCATCATCATGTACAACAGAATGAATTATACCATCGTCAATGAACGTTCCACATGATCGTCATACACCTACCTACTCGATCGTCGAGGCGTCTTAAGGTGAACCCCGAATCGTCAGGTAAGATTACATGCGGTCACATTTATGTCAGTGATTGTTCAATGTCAGCCTCGACTTGTACTTCCACTTGTAGTCACTGTTATTTTAAGATCGACGAATCCGGTGTCTCGTAGTATTCACATTAATATTAATTGTCCTTGTGATCCACCCATGTAACTTCTTCGTATCATTCTGATACACTGCCGAAAACAGACTGGCCTTAAACAGGCCTGAGAACAGTGTGACATCTTCAACCGCCACAAGACAGTTTGACATTAATATAGGATCCAATAATCGACCTGGTTGTGTCGCTAAAGCAGACTTGTTACTGTCCCACTTCTGGGATTTCCCTCGTCAGCTAACAATACCACACCTTTTCCCATCAAGTTTTAGCCAAAAGCGCCAGTCCGTTAGTCTCAATCCATCACCCTTGAGCCAAAACCGGCAATGCTTCAGCCACGAACCGTAGTCCTTTAGCATCGAAACAAACTGTACAGGGTGATTGCTTCATCGTAGTCGCGCGCTCGTCCCTCTCACCCGTAACCTTAAGTAAGTAAATTTCCTCTGACCCCTGACGCGATCTGATTGGATCATATTCCGCGAGCTGCGACGCTTAAAATCTCTCACCCTAAACGAGACGGTTTGATCACCGGCTTGTATTTTTTGTAATGCTCTTGTTGTTAAGTTCAGTCCATCCGAGTGTTGATGACACTCCTGCCA